CTACTCCTTTTGATACTTCAGTAAGGTTCTATTACAAATGACACTGCAATATGGAATAATTCTGTTGTTAATACAACAGAAACAAAAAAATATATATACTTATTAAATCCTACACCTATGTCCTCTCTCCCTTCTTCTTTGTATTATGGAATATAACCACTAACACAACTTCGGAAGAGGTTCTTAATTGTTCTTACAGTAATTGTGTCCCGAGCAACTGCTGGAATTCCTCCTTCACTTCTGCGCTGGTTGAGAGGATCCCTACACTTCTTCCTATGTCTGTGAATGTATCAGAAGATCGAGTAGAACTGATATTGTATAGAAGCAAGAGAGATTTTGGAATAACAGTAGCTATCATCAGCAGGCTCTACAGGTGGCCTGCCTTAGCATGGGTGAGGGGAGCTGTTTGTGTTTTTCCCCCAGGTGCTGATAAACCTATCTGGATTCCTGAAAGCAACAAAATAACAAAGGTGATGATCCTCATCCTTCTGACACAGACATGGAGCATACAGGGTAATGTCGCTGCTGGCATCGCCTGTCTCAGACTGCGGTTACAGCTTCCACAGTTGATACCTTGTCAGGAAAAGTCAGTGAAGCCCTGCAGACTCAGAACTCAATCAATGCACACATACAATTTGGACTAATGAACTTACATCAACAAACTGCCTTGTGAGTTGATGCCTTTTGGGCCATGTAACAGCTAACATGCTCTCATTTCTTTCATCATATTTGTGTTACCCATTACCATGTACAAAATGCCTCCAATGCTGTAAAACAATTGAATGCCTTTCTTAAGGGACCATGGAATGTGACCTTTGCCATTAATGAAACCAGAGTCCCTGCCATATCAGCAGAAGGATGATGGAATACCATGGTAGGAATTGGAGGATGGATACAGAGGTGGGCAGGCTCCTTATCACTGACTGTCAATTTCATACTCATTATGATTTTTGTGTTTTGGGGTCTTATGTAGAAAGCTCAGAAGAATTCAATCCCGACAAACTGTTACCCAATAAGTCCTTTTAAGTTTTCACACAACCATACAAATGTCCCACAAGTGTGGCTTCAGATGCTACACAAAAGATGAAGGTATTCTCAATGATGGGCAACTTTCTGTGAGAGGGCTCCCGCCTAAGACAGGGAAGAGGTCTCCCAGTGACAGGTAAGGGTGACCCCTCCGGAACGACCTAAGATAGAGTTACCTTCCTTATAAAAAAAAAAGGGGGGGGGTGAGATGCAGGGACATGGCGTCCTGACCTCCGCCTCCCCCTTGTAAGAGCTTGGGTATCTGTGGTATTTCCTGGAATTGTTTATCACAAGGACTTCCTCCTGATTCTAAGAAAAGTTCACCCTGACCCAAAACTAACCTTACAGTCAGGTGATCAGGGGAATGCCCAATTATCATGTGTCCTGACTCCACCTCCTTTACTGAAAAGGTATTTAAACCCTTGTCTCAAGCAATAAAGAGAGTCCTTCCTCCCACTCCATGATGGTGTGATTGTTTGTTCAATCCTGACGCCCTCTGCCCAGAATACTCGGAGCTTGATGTGCTGGCGTGGCAAGTCAGATCGGGTAGATCCGTTCAAGACTTGACTGACACTGAACAAAGGCGCTGCATTTCAGAGATTCACTGTGAGAGTGATTAGGGTTGACACCGAAGGCCCAGAGGGCACAAGCGGTCAACCATTCAGATGGGGGGTTGGGGCATCCCCTGTCCTCCAGCTCAGAGAGGAATACTGCATCCAGTTTCTCTCCCTTGAGCCCCCAGAAGTCAGGACACCCAGAACAGAAATCAAAATAGACTCACCATGGGAGAAACCAGATCTGATGTTGTTGGGCACCAAACAGAGAACAAAAGAGACAGGAAAACAGACCGAGGGTCTTTTAGGGAATCCCAGACAAGCCCCCCTAAAATGTTCGGGGTCTGAATAATTCCCTGAATTGACCACTCAGACACTGAGTCTCAGTAAAAAGGAGCACTTTATTGGCTGGGCATGGTGGCACATGCCTTTAATCCCAGCACTTGGGAGGCAGAGGCAGGTGGATCTCTGTGAGTTCAAGGCCAGCCTGGTCTACACAGTAAGTTCCAGGACAGCTGGGGCTACAGGGAGACCCTGTCTCAAAAAGACCCCCCCCCAAAAAAAAGAGTGCTTTATTGAAGCCAACTGATTGGGGACACAGACAGTCTTGGGAGCTGTGCTGCTACCCTGAGCAGTGAAAGCACAGGGATTTTAAGCATAAAAACCACAAAGCAGAGGATTTTTATAGAAACCATAAACAGAAGAACCAGGAAAGGATCTGAACAATCTTGGGCTGATTTTCAGAGCCTTAACCTATACAGCCATTGGCTAGCTTACCTGGAGCAGAACATTCTTCCTCTTCTGCCCCAGACCATTCCCACAGGAACCATAAACAGATGTACCAGGAAAGGGTTTGAACAACGGAAGGGATTTCCAGAGTCAGGTGGAAGGCAGCTTTTTCTCAGAGGATATGGCGGGGGGGTGTCTGAGGGAGGGGGTCTGAGGGGCACTCTCCTTCACTGTAACTGTGATGAGTCACCTGTCCTCTTGTTCAGGGAGGTCATGGAGACTCCACCAGAGGGACTCAAACCAGTGTCCAGTCTGCAAAGAGGAGGGTCAACACAGAAGAAATATTTCCTCCATGCTTCCAAGCAAAGCCTCAGTCAAGCAGGACCTCTTGACTTATCTTCATGTAGATAGAACTGGTAAAAGAAAAGCTTAAGGAGCCAGGGTCTCCTCTGAAGCCCAGGTGACCCCCAAGGACCAGCTCCTCAACTGACCTTAAAGTAAAAATAAACTGGTTTATTTGGGCCAACTGTAAGTCTTAAACACCCAAAAGGAAAGTATAATAAAAAATTAAAATAATCAGTATATTTCTTTAAGAGTCCAAAGGATTGCATTTCCCAGACATTAGACTTAAGTCCAGATAAAATGTTATTTAGACAATTATTTCTCAGTAATGATTTTGTTCTTAACAAGAAAATGCTGCTCAGGTGTAAGATTTCAATTCTTGATCTCCAATACTGTAGTGCCCATCTGCAGCTACTATTGTTCTAAAATGATGGATACATTTATTTTTCTCTCCCTGTCTAGAAGGCTGATTCTAGCCATTCCAACAGCTATCAAAATACCTGAAAGCAAATTCTGAGTCCATCACTCTCAAGTCCAGCCTTGGAAGACAAAAGAAAAATGAGGAGAAACCTAATAGAGGGATGGTTTGGGAAGCTCTCATCAAGAAATTCCAAAGGACATTTGAAATTTTCCCTGTTGTGACTTTTTTTCTGGTTCCCTAACACTTGTAATGCTATTTTTGCCTTTACTTCTCTGTCATATCTCCAAGGCACTGGTCAAGCACCTTCTTTTTCTCCCTACTGTTGAGTTATGCAATTTGGGAGTCTTTTAGATAGACCCACTGAAGAGGGTACCCTAATTGCCTCACCCTATGCCCTGTTCAGCATGGAAGAAGCCAGAAGAGTCTGCAACCCAATTCCCTACTGGCAATTTGGGTAAGCCTCTTCAGAGGATGGTATTATAAAAATAGGAGATAAAAATTGGCTAGGCAGCTAGGGTAAAAAGACCCCAAAGAAAAGTAGCCAGTTTCTTTCTTGGCTAAAAGTCAAAATGTCCTTAGGCCTTTTAGCAAAATACTCTGTCCCAAAGGCCCAAAAATGTTAAAAGTATTTTGGAGCTCTTATCCCAAAGAGATTTTAGGGTTACCTCTTCAAAGTAGTAAAATAAAAGGTAAAAATTAGACAGTTTAAAAGTAAAATCTTGGATAATAAACTCATGATGATACAGAGTCAATACAACTCCCTCCAAACTAGATCAGTAAGAAATAATAAAATATCAAAGATTTGATTAGTTACCAAAAGAGGTGGGGAATGAATTATCTCAGCTAAACTAAGTTACTGCATTTTGCCCAAATCAGCTGTTTCAGGAGACATGCCTTTCCCCTACTAATGAAAGATACCATACAAGGGAGAAGCAACTTCGAATTTTGAGAAATGGCCTGACTGCATGCCACAGGGTATTGTAATCTAGGCTGCTTATCTAAACCTGCTTCACTTATCTATAATATAAGCACTTATCTCACTTCTGTAAACCTGCTTCACTTACCCAAGCCCAAGTCTGTGCAATAACTCATGATTGATTGGTAAATTTGAAGGTTGCTATGTTCAGATTTTGCTATGTTGCATAAACCTGATTGGCCCACCGGTTCTGCTTTCTGTATTCCCATAAATATTCTGGCAAACTGGTGTTCGAGGCTGCTTCTATTCCCAACATAGACAGCCTGGTTGACCATAATTCAACTTTACCTTGATGCTTTCAATTAAGTGGTGTTGGTGACTTTTATCCGGACTCTGGCATATAACATGGTGGGCTTCGGTCCTGCTGCCAGTGGGCTCTGCCAGGATTTCAAATTTCCTGCCCTTGCTCTACTGGATCAGGTTCCTGCTTTCATGAGGGAACCGATCAACAACATGCATCCTGCCCTGTCCAATCCAAAGGGGGAAAGAGGAGCCCAGCCCTACCTCCTAACCTATGGAATATAAAAGCCCAGCCTCTCCAAGGGGGATGGTTAGATGGTGCCGGAGCTTCGGATCCCATCCCCAGGCGGAGAGTCTGTCCCTATGTGGAGTGCTGCTTATGCTTCAGTATACCTTGGCTGTGTGCCCTGAGAACTCCTCCTTGTGATTCTTTACCTGGCAAAGAAAAGGACCTGAGAACAGACCCTAGGCGGCCATAAGGACCCTGCTTAGTTATCATCAACACATAAGGCAGGAAAAAAAAAAATGACAGGAAGTACTCCAAGTCCTAATGTATACACATGAAAAGTTCAGATTAAAAACTCTAGGATATATGAAGTGGCCTAGGTGTTTTCTGCAATTTGATCTATTCCCACTGTCTTGCTTTCCATCTCCTAAGTAGGGAGAAGGAAAGAACATCCCTCTTTTGGCATCACCTTTGGGGCCAGTGCTTTTTATTTTTTTAAAAAATACTTCAGCCTGCATGTAAGTTTGTTCACCATGTGCTTGCAGTGCTAGTGGAGGCCAGAAGAGTCTGGTCCCCTGGAATTGGAGTTACAGATGGTTGTGAGCCACCGCGTGGATGCTGGGAACCGAATTGAGGTTGTCTTCAAGTACAAGTGCTAAGCCATCTCCCAGCATGCGGGCTAGTGCTTTCTAAGGCACTGCATGCCGTGTCTCCTTGGTGCCAAGACAGCACCTGCCTTGCTGGGCACTGAGCCAGCTGGATGTAGTCAGGGTCGGTAAAGAGACTTTGGAGTCGATTTAGTTTCTACCGGTATGCAGCTGCTCTTGCCTCCTGCGCATCTAGACGGCTCTTGCTGCCAATAAGAAGACTAGCTCCCAGCCCTCCAGTCTAGCAGGGCCTTGAGGAATCCCCAAGGGGGCAGTGAAGCGCCGCTGTGTGTAGCCGGAGAAATGGCGCGGTCCTTGGTCGCCAGCCCTGCCGGATTCTCTGGAGGGAGCGGGCACACCTCTTCACCTTCGAAACCCACGGGCGTCCTGAACGTGAAGCAACTTCTCCGTTCGGCTGTCTCGCCGCCAACTTGGATGCATCGTGGGACAGTAGGTGAATCGGTGCCAGGTAAGCCGAGAAACCAACGTGCTAGAGCGCCTAATCGGGCCGGTATCCCGGCGTCCTCCGGGACAGGCAGGCTGGGCCGCTCTGGCCGGCGCTGAGCGTCTCGATGGTGCGGCCGAGGGGCGGGGCCTCGCTCCGGCTGCGCGTAGGAGATCTGCGCGTGGGTATGGCTGGGCTGCGGCAAGGGCTGGCCGGAAGGGACTGAATGGTCGGCCACTTGGGGGCCAGAGGGAGGCCGGAGGGGTGCGGCGGAGGCTAGAGACTGGGCTTCGGGGTGTTAGTGGGACGGGCGTGCTGCGACGGCAGGCGCGGAGTCGTCTACAGCCCCGCAGCTCCCTCAGCCTCCTCGGCACCTTCCAGATTCGGTAGACGCTCTCTTCCAGGCCGTGTCTTGGCTTTTACCGGAGCCCAGAGCTGGAGCGGGGAGTGTCTCCTCCAGGCAGCCCACTGCGGTCGTTTGGAGGTGCGGGGGAGCGCGCCACAGCCTGCAAATATTAGGCTTACCCCGTTTTCACAGTTGACATTCTAAAAATGATTGCATCACACAAACCGTAGAAAAGCGTGACTTCGGGAATTTGCTGCAATTTGAAAGGTGCAGAAATTTAGAATTGTGTTTTATTCGTAGCGGTCACAGGCACTAGATATTTTATGTACAGAGGGAGAGCCGATGGACTGAAAAGATTTTGTGTTCTTCCCCTTGTGAATGATCTGGACTTGATTTGGCGTCTGCTTTTGGTATTTTAAGCCTTAAGTTTTTTAGAAATTAACTTTTTCAGCAGCTGTAGTTCAATGAAGAGAACTTATTCGTAAAGCAAAATAAAGATAGTTTTGGGGGCGGGGGGTTGTTTTTTGAGACATAGTTCTTAGAATTCCCTGAGCTTAAGTGATCTTTTTGCCACAGCTTCATGAGTGCTCGGACTCCATCCAGGCCTACACCTATCTTTGGTTTGGACTTTTTCCCTTGGCTTTTAGGGCTGGAGGAGGGGTTGAAATAGAAGATGACCCATTGGAAATACTGTTTGAACAGAAATGTTTGATTAGTACTTCATAGCATATAATTAAAATGACCTGAAAATTATATATAAAATTAAGGAAAGGGGGGCTATCATCTTTAATCTTGGAAGGCTTCATTTTGGTACTGTTTGCTTATAGCAAACATAGGTGGATGACATGAGACAGAGTCAGGCCATTTTAGAGAGTGACTTAAGTCACAAAAATTTATGGTATAGGTAATTAATTGGCTGGTAAGGTACACTAGTCATCCCAAGTAATTACTAATATTGAATGGGCATGTTGCTAGGTAGTAGAGTGTTTGCCTACCTTCATGAGACCCTGGGTTCAATCCTTATTGAAATACCAATTAGTAATAAAATTATGATCGCATAAGTATAATTTATAAATAACCAAGGTATTTGTTCATATATTGACACATGAAAAGTCTATGCTAAGATTTCTGTGTCTTTATAGAATATAAATTTAGGCCCCACTTCCCTAAAATACTTTGCAGAGGAAAACTCTTTTGTTAATGATACTAGAATCTACAAAAATCTTCAAGTTACTGGTCATTGGCAGTACTGAAACTTGCTTGCCAAAGCACTGTTTTCTACACATTCATCCAAAACAAAGAAATAATGACTTCCAGATATAAAGACCTGAGCAAAATGAAAGATATCTTCATTACAAACTCATGAATCCTTTCAACAAACCTCAGAATTTATAATACCACAAAGTATGAACCATTATCTATTAGAAAAAAAATTGACAATTTGAATGCACAATGAAGTCAATGTGTTTAAATATTTAGTGCATATAATTTTTACGTTTGTAAGGTGATCCCTTGAACCAGTGATATAAATACCTCTATCCACTTAACTGGATGGGAACTGGGATACAGAAAGCTTAAATTATTAGCTAAATCAGAGAGGAGTAGCAGTGTCGGTGGCAGCAATAATTTCCCCCTTCAGTAAACTGGGAGTAGGAAAGCTATTTAGGAGGACTACTCAGAAGCCTAACACAGAAGCTTTGCTGTGACTTGAACTGTCTGTGTATGTATTTAATCAGACTTTTTTCAGCTCTCATCGTAAAAGGCAGACACAAAAACTGGAAGGTCTGTATTCACCTAGCTGAAAATTTCATGATGGCAGTATAATCCATTGTATTACATTTTCATTCGTGAAACAATTATTATGATCACAATATTTACTTGTGTGTTATTAATCCTACACATATTCTAACAGGCTTGGGTAGCTAGCAAAGTGTCATGAATAAAATTTTAAAAAGCAAAAACAATAGATAACTTCAAATATTTAAATGATGCTCCAAATTTAAAGTGACATGAAAAAGTAAAACTTGCAGTTCACAAATAACTGCATCATAGATTGAGTAGGAACACATACAAATAAAATACAGTAAAGATGTACTTTATAAATGATAATTATCAAACAGTTTGCTTGGTGAAAGAAGAACAAAAATACAAGTGTCCTTGGAAGCAGATCCTTCAACCCCAGTCAAACTTCAGATGCCTGTAAGGCCACACCAACATGTGGACTTGGCTGTGTCTCATCTCAGTAATGAATGGCAGTAATTACAGTACATGGGAGTCCAAACAGATCTCAGCACAAAACATCAGAAAGCTGGATGGAACCATTAGCAATTCTCTCAAGAGAACTACCAAAGAATTCAACAAGTATGATCCCTTTCAAGGGCAAGGTCTCACCACCTAAATGTCTGACCTCTCCCCAATACTTCCAGTACCCTCACCCAGGGGCCAGGCCAGCAAGCACGTGAACCTTTGGGGAATATGCAAATGATAGCAATGCTCTGGTCGCAGGCAGCCAAATGATAAAGGAACACAGTTGTTAAGATTCTGAGCATCAGAATCTTACCTAGAGATGTTAGGTTTTTTGTTTCGTTTTTTTTTTTTTTTTTTTTTTTTTTAAACAAAGTTCTTGCTGTATGACCCTGCTGGCCTAGATCTCATTGTGTAGACTAGGTTAGCTGTAACCGTCTGCCTATGGCTCCCAAGTTCTGAGATTGCAGGCTTGTGTCACCATGCCCGGCATGCACAATATCATATATATGTGTATGTTATTTTGCTTGTACTGACTGCCAGAGTGTTTTCTGTGCACTCAAGAACTCCAACTGATACCAGGGTCTGGAGTAATACTTCATTCTACCAATTAGGAATTTATATCCATTATCCCCCACCTGTACATATACTTTGGCTCAAGATGTATTTACATTACAGTATTCATGTTACTGTGTTTCAAAAGTTTACAAGCATTTACTCTTCCATATGGAATTTAGAAAGCTTATTTCTGACCTTAGAATTGCATTTGATTTATAGATTAATTTGGAGAAAACACCACCAATACTATCTTCATTTGTAATAAAAGGGTGTAGCTTCTACATTGATTAGGGTCCATCAAAAAAGCAGAACAATTCTGTGTGGTAGAAAAAAGATAAGTGATTTATTACAAGGATTTGGAATTGGGAGACCTGGTAGAACAGTTGGTGTGTTCATTGTCTCTGAATCTGTGGTTAAGACCAGTTGCTTCAAATCAGCAAGGCAGGTATTGGATGCAGATTAAAGCAAGGACAGATAGAAACCCTTTGAGACGTAATGGAACTTGCACCAGAATCATTCTAATTACAATTTGATATTGTAGGTGGGCTGTAGGAGAGGCTGACACTCTTGACCCTGGCACTGTATGTGCTGGCCCATTTGGAGAAGCTGAAAAAGGATGTGATGGGAGCTGAAGGACCTGCAAGTTCAGCTGCTTCCCCAGGCCAGCAAGGTGAGCTGACAGATCAGCACCAAGGCATGCATAGTCCACAGAGTGCCCTGTGCCTGTGCCAACTATCAGGCAGTAGAGAATAGGAGCCAGATGTGATGCACACACCTGTAATCCTAGCATTTGAGGTTGAGGCTGAAGGATAAAGACCAGCCTGGGCTACACCACAAGACCTTGTCTCAAAAAAAGGAGTAGAAGGGAATATATATGGCTACTCCTTCACTCTACCTTCTGAATTACATGTAAAGTGTTTCCTGTAGACCTGTAGCCAACACTATCCAAAGCTATATAAGGAAGGAAATCCTGAGACATATAATCCTAACTAGGCTAAGTTGACACACTGCAAAGCCTCCCAAGCCCTAGTCAGTTGTTTTTGTTTTGTGAAGTTTTTAGTGAAGTACAAGACTTCGGGAGGGAAATGCCATCCTCTGGTTTGTCCTTTCCTGTGGGGCGTGTTCAATTAATCTCCCTGGAATGGTTTTTGAAACTTTTTAAGAATTTAATCTCTATTTTATAGTGCATGAGTGGTTTGCTACAAGTAGGTGCACCCATGTTGTACAATGCTCACAGAGGCCAGAAGAGGGCATCAGATCCCTTGGAACTGGAGTTACAGACAGTAGTGAACTGCCATATGGTTCCTGGGAACCAACAGGTCCTCTGCAAGGGTAGCCAGTGCTCTTAACTACTGAGCCATCTCTCCAGCCCCAATGTTTGGAGGTTTTTTTTCCTTGGCTCTGCTTTTGCCACCAGGTGCACTGCTAACTGGCTTCTCCTTGGAAAAGAATATATTCTTTTTCTTGGAGACAATCTTGCTTCCTCTGGATCATTAACCTTTTTTTCCTTTGGTGAAGATACTTTCCTCTCAGGAAGACTTGTTCTACCAGCTATCTCTTCCAGAAGATTGAATTTTTCACTCTACCATAAACCATTAGGTACTTCCTGTTGAGTTTACTACTTGAATTTTGAGTTGCAAATGTTTGGTCTTTCAACTTCATGTCCCTTCTGATTACTTCTGGTGTGTTAAACAATTTTTTAGTATTTCTCTTGAATTATCCACACTTTTCACCTTAAATTACAACAGTTTTTGATTGGTTCACTTGGCCAGGCAACCATTTCACCTGTAAACTAGTTGATTATGCCCCCTCCTAATGTAATGATAATATCTCTCTCTCTCCCTTCCTTCTTCCCCTCCTTCTCTCAACTGTTTTTTCCCTCCCCTCAATGCATTGATTAAAATTGCCAGAACAATGTTAAAATGACTATACTGTTTATAACTTTCTGATGTAATAGTTCTAAATTTTTCACAATTCTGGTTTTTAAACCAAGTGGTTTTAAGTATTTATTGAATATAGGAATTGCATGATATGCATACTTGCTGAAATGCAAATTCCCAGGAACAAGGATTATTTTGCTAAATACCTTTAAGAACTGTATTTAATGATACCTAGTACATAACAAATATTATAATTTTTCCTTGAGTCAGTCAACAAATATTTACATAGTACCTATGTTTATGTAGTTATATAATGATATAATGATGAACAAAGTAGACAAAGGTCTTGCTCTGAAATTATTTTATGGATATACATTCCCATAAAATATATAAACACTTAAAAGATAGGCAAGTCTTTTGGCTTAATGGTGCTACTCTAAATGCACCAATGAACATGAAATTAGATTTATAATTATATTATTTAGAGTATCTCTGCTTGAGATACTCTGAGATACTTTTTCACTACTTGATTTAATTTTTTTTTAACTGCTGCATTGTTCAATAGTTAAACATCCTTTTATCTTCTAAGTGGTGTAACCTTGTGTGGGCATTATTGTAACTATTTTATCCTTTTCAGTCTTAATCTTTTTTGTTTGATTGGTTCTTGTTGTGGTGGAGGGGTGAGTTTTGGTTTTCTTTTTCTTTTTTTTTTTTTGGTCTTTTTGAGACAGACCCTCCCTTGTAGCCCCAGCTGGCCCATAATTCCCTATATAGAATATGCTGGTCTCCAGTAATGATGAGAAACACTGGCTGTAGTCATAAAGCCCAAAACAAAAATGGACTAGAGATTCCCTGAGAAGAGAGAACTCAAACTCAGTGAAAACATTAAAAATGCCACACTGATTAAAGGGGGAAATGCAAATGCGACGTGTATGCACTGAAGAAACCTACAAGAAAAAGAAAAATACTGCAAGACCATTTGAGGATCAGACATCATTGGAGTTCTTTTCAAAGAAGTCAGATTATTCTTTATTCATGTTTGGTTCCCATAATAAGAAGCGGCCAAATAATTTGGTAATAGGTCATATATATGACTATCATGTGTTGGATATGATTGAATTAGGTACTGAGAAATTTTTATCTTTAAAAGATATTAAGAATAATAAATGCCATAAGGGAACAAAACCCTTGTTAATATTTGCTGTGATGACTTTGATGTAACAAGACTATATCAAAGACTGAAAAATCTTCTTACTGATTTCTTCAGAGGCCCCACAGTGTCAAATGTCCAACTGGCTGAGTTAGAGTATGTTTTACAATGCACTGCACTGAATGGGAAGGTTTTCTTTTGAAGCTATAAGTTACTGTTGAAGAAATCTGATTGTAGAACTCCTCGAATTGAATTGGAAGAGATGGGACCTTCATTGGATCTGCTTCTCAGGAAGATGAGAGCATCAGATGAACTTTATAAGTTATCTATGAAAATGCCCAAAGCTCTCAAGCCAAAGAGGAGGAAGAATATCTGCTGGGATACTTTTGGGAATCAACTTTCAGAAAGATTCATATGCAGAAGCAAGACCTAAGCAAACTACAAACCAGGAAAATGAAGGGATTGAAGAAACAACCTACAGAGAATGTAACAGAAGACCAGGAGAAAAAGTCTAAGAGAATTATAAACAATTAGTGAAACAAGTACAATTAGCCAACAAATACAATTATATTGTTGTGTATTACTAAACAGAATTTTCCTATTTCAAAAAAAAAATAATATCTCACAGAGATCTGTCTGCCACTGCCTCTCAAGTGCTGGGATTAAAGGAGTGTGCCACCACACCTGGCTTAATCATTTTGCCTTGGACGTTTTATGTCAGTACTATCAGTGTTGTCTTACTTTGTATTTTCTGGACATCATTCAATGTCTTTATATATTATTAAGGCTATGATCAGAGTATTTTTATTTATTTGTACATGCATGCGTGCGTGCGTGCGTGTGTGTGTGTCTTTGTCTTTGTGTGTGCGTATGCACACATGGACCACAGTATACATGTGGAGATCAAAGGATAATTTTGTAGAGTTGACTCTCTCCCTCTGCCTTCTAGCTGGGTTCTGGGGCTCAAAGTTAGGTGGCCAGGCTTGCATGGCAAGTGCCTTTATACACTGAGCCATCTTGCCAGTCCAAGGTGTTTTCTTATTAAGTATAATACAATAGAAATTTCTTTTTGTCTCGATCTGTGTTTGTCTCCTTATATGAAAATTTAATACATTCACATTAATTTTTCTATTTGATAGACTTGATGGTGATAATGATGATGATGATGATGATTATGATTGGTTGGGGTGGGATGCCCTGGCCTGCGGGGTCTGCAACGAGGTACCTGGATTGGGGAGTGGGGCTGAATTGAGGAGTGGGGATGTGGATGGGACGGGGCAAGAGACAAGAGAAATGGAGACAAGACAGGATTTTGATCAAGTCTCATTTATTGAAACACAAGCATGAGTTTAGAGAATGAAAACAAGGGAGCAAGGAGTGGGTAATCACATCAGTCAGAACACAGAGGTCCTGATGTACTCTAAGGGAGGAATCTACTGATTAACCGAGAACAGAGCTATTCACCTAAACTAAAGCAAGGCCGCAGGCTGCTGGCCCCGGCTGTGGGCCAAGGTTTTGGGCCCAGGCTGCCTGGCAATGTTTTGGGCCAAGGCTGTGGGCAGAATGGAAAGTAGCCAGCTTAGGTCTGTCAGCAGTTTTAAGAAGCGGCTGAGACTCAGTCTACCAACATGCTGAGATGTCTCCCAACATGCCGAGACTCAGGCTCCCAACAGATCCCCCTTTTTTACTTTATAGAGCTTAGGGATCGAAGGTTGTTAGACCCTTAGGGAACTGTGCCTGTCTTAGGTTGGAGTATCTTTTTCCGAGTGCTTACCTGTCATTGGATAACGCAGTAACATTAGACTACCCTCTTGTCTTAGGTTGCAATAAGGGGGGATTTTTTGTGTGTGTGTGTGAAGAACAAGGAATTTAATGACTTTATATACAAAACCTTTGACAATTGAGGTAAAAATAAGGAAACTTTTTTTGTGCTTTATAGTTTTTCGTTTATTTTATTTTTTTAATTAGGAGAAGCATTTCATTACAACAGCATTAACCTATTCAATAACATTTTTCTGAGCTAGGGTACATCTCTTTCAAAATTGGCTGTACATTTTTAGGTTTACAGA